ACTCAGTCATAACATTACTAAGTTTTGATCACTATTGCATCAGATAGTTTTCACTCTGATGATTTTAGTCAGCCATGCAAAAGTGTGGACACAGAACCAGTACAACTACAGAGACGGTTAAAAGCAGATGTCAGCACGTATGCTGTCTGCAGCTGTGTGTACGCTACTAATATTCCTCTTATATGCATGCACAGAGAAGCATTAGTGCAAAACTAGCAACATATTTATGTATGCATTATATATGCATACATGTATAATGTATATATGACACTAATAAGCAATGCCAAAACAAACATGGCACTGATTTAGTGCTGGTAAACACATTTGCAGCAGAAACACCAGATGACAAATGTTTTCTTTTCAGTTTAATATGATGGATGGACTACTTAACAGACCTAGCAGACACAGGCCCCATGACTGCTCGGGTAACGTTTCTTGTTGGAAAGTCAATGACATTACTGCAAAAAGATGCAAAATGACGGAAAAATTCAAAACAATCAAAGTGGAAACAAATACAAAAAAGTAATTACAGGGAGACACAAAACAATAAACAAAGAGCTAAAAACAAACAGTTAACACAGATGCAAAATGACAACAACAGGAACAATCACCACAGTGAAACACAAAAAGATGCAAAATCACAGCAAAAAGTGGAAGAACTGGGGGAAATTGAGAGGCCAAATGCTGTTTTCTCCATATTGATTTAGACCTTTCATAAGGTGAAAACCTAGAAAGATGAAATTAAATTCCTGCTGGGTCTAGGTAACGGATCAAACACTAGATTGCGCCGATTTTGTGTTTAACATACCCAGTACTCAAATCCAACTCAGTTATGAAATGCAGATGTGCATAAATATTGTGTGTGGATGTTGAGCACTGACCTGAACATTTAACTTATCTGTTTGTGAAGAGCTCTCAGCAGGACTCGAACAGCCTGTCAGCTCTTTGTTTGTCAGTTACAGGGTCTATTGTGTCTGATTTGATTAGCCAGGTTGCTTTTTGCTAATAAAAAGTGCAGTGCCCTTCTCTAGTCTTAAACCATGTGCTGTGGTAATTCCAGCCAATAGTCCGTGTTATGTACTCACTGAGATCCAAAATAACAAGGCCGATCCATTTGTCTGGAGTGGTTGGGATTCTGTCCAACACTGCTTCTCCGTTATCCCCTGCACTCCCTTTTTGCTCTGTCATAATGACATTGTTTCATGACGTAATGTAATGTCGGACATAAATAATGAAAGAGACTGCTGTGTTCAGCATGGCTCACAGCTAAATGTTTGCATTGCATTTGCCCAGCTGCAGTAGAAGTCGCAGGCTGAACACTTGGATGATGTTTAGTGGTTACGTTACATCTTCATTGCTGTTAAAATGTCACTTTGTTTTGTTCTTTGTTTGTTTTTTCTTACTAGCAAGCATGTGGAAACCATCCCATTAGTTTCTAAACTCCACATTTTTCCTTAATATTAACAGATAAAACAGTATTTCAGCCACTGGCATGTTGTTTTTTCTGAGCCTAAAATGACCATATTTGGAAAAGAGGGTGAAGTGCTATGCTCTTAACTAATGACTGTATTCTGCAGTCTGCAGGGAGATACCTGCTAATTATGCCAACTAATAACAAAGTAGAAATCCAGTCATCAGAAATAAAGCACAGATGTCAAGAATTGACAATTTATTTATGATACATTTCCATTAAATTACTTTAAAAACACCAACAGCAAAAACGGGTTCAAAAGATTAAAAAAAATCTAAAAACTTATTGAAAAGTTTCTCATATATAAACTGCAAAAAAACAACTACTACGTCTACTTTGCCTGAAATCTTTAACCAGCAAACTCTTGGCTGTGACGGGAAACCCCCACTCAGTGCAGCCACAGTCAGCCAGTAAAATCTGCCCCCTTACAGATGCTGCCGACTTTCCCATCATTAGCTTGTGGTGATAAAACTGTCTGGACTGTCATCAACTGCCATTTTTTTGTAATTTTAATGGAGTTTGCATTGTTTCTAAACTACAACCATTGGGGGAAAAGGACAATTTAACATCTTGATACAGAATAAAGATGATTGATACATTTTTTCAAAAAATGTAAATATATTTGCACCTAGAAGTTTTGAAATTGCAGGAAACCAAAAAAAGGTAAAATGGCGATGTTGTGGCATACTGCGTCACATATTCACCCTGTATTTTTTGGCACACAGCTTGTTTGTTGACGGCACGAGGCTCTGATAGTTTCTTGTTTGTATAACTGAGACTTCAGTCTGGATGTCTTGGTACTGATGTTTCACAATCTGGACTTCTCTCCTCCATAGATCCCAGTAGGTCCCAGTCTTTTTAACAACATTTGTTTTCATAGAAAAGCAGTTAGCACAGGAATAGCAATTACCCTTGGTATACTGCATTTCACAGTGTCCAGCTGTCTTCCTTGCTCAGCCACCATCCTTCAAGTCCACGTGATTGATCTGCACTTCTGGGGGTACTTTTCGGAATAAATTTGTTCAACCTTAAAACTAAAATGACCTCAAGTTATCCTCATGTTTTATGCACTGTCGAATTTTCTCAGAAAACAGTATGACTACAGTCATTATCAGCCTCACGCATTAATATGTAATATGCAAATACTAAATTAATCTGAGACGCACCCGCTCGAGTCTGGGAGCGACATTTAACTTCAGACAGATCAGATGAATTTGTTTTCCATGTTTGAGTTATAGTTTAGATTAAAATTCAAAGTAATGGTCTTAATAGGTGTGTGTGTCTGTGTTACCGTATTATCTTTAATTAGGGAATGTTGCATGGGGTACAACCTGCTCAGCGTTGTGTAGTTTAGATAAGTATGATGGGGTTTCTCGTTCCTAATCGGGCTGGGCTGTTGGCCCAGCATCAGCCCCATGACAGCAAAGGAATGCAGTGAACCTAAGGCTCTGTCAAACCTCAGAGGCCCTCGGCTCGCTAGCAGTGGTTAGGTTGGCACTCTTCACAACCTAAATCAAGACAGAGGGATTTGGAAAGAGAAAACAATCTCATTATTCCACCATCACAAGTGCGTGAGCTGCAATCCAAAACATGTAGTGGCAAGACAAAGTGCACCGAGTGCAAATGTCCACAGGTAATTTGACAGCTACTATACTTGTAACATAATCCCTATGTTAATTTTGTTTTTCTGTCAGACTTCATTCCTAGATCTCAGCCTGTGTTTTGATACTTTCTTTTGTTTTGGTTTGGGGTTTTTTTGCTTCTCGTAGTGTTAAACTATGTCCTGCCTATGAGTAGATGGGTAGGATAAGGTATTCATATCTCCTGAGGAGAGGTGAAGAGGAGATCTTTTAATAGAGCTCTTACAAGTCATTGAAAAGTCTTAGAAAGTGTGAAACAACAATTTTTCAAAAGGTCCTCAGAATATCTGAAATTTGCCATAAATTTATGGTAGGTGTTAAATTTGCAGCGTAAAGAAATATAATCAATCTGATTATCATTAAGTTTTACTAAGTGTTGCAGTTTTATGTCACTTGGTTATTATTCTTCCTCTGCACTTAACTAGGCAGGTAGATAACAATCGTCACACCGTTGTTCTTTTGTGGTCGTTTATGTCCAGTTGGATACATAGCATGGATTTTGATGAAAGAATAAATTGTAAAACTGTAAATAAGACACAAAATATCATGTGTGATCTGATATGCGTAAACATTCTTTTACAATTAGAAAATGCTGTGACCTTTAAGCATCATAGGCTATACTTCCTTACCATATAAATTGAAGCACAACGAAATAAGCTAATGGCTAATTAGCGTCTAGGCTAATGTCTGATAAAGCACATCTTTAGGTGAACTCACTTGTACAAACTATTACAAGCAACTCACGGCGGCTAGTGCCAAACACACAATAGTAAAATACAACATTACTGCCAACTAACAGACTGTGTTGGCTTAAAAGGTAGCAAAGGCAGGCAGGAAGTAGCAAGAGGTGCTATTCCGGTAGGATGTCAACTAAAACGGACAGTGTAAAAATGCCCCAAAAACAAATAAAGACACTATCTAGGGTGACTCTTGGGGATCATTCACATGTATTTAAGACATGCTTATGGACTACATGTAAAACACTCACAAGCCTAGTCTGAGCTGGTGAGATGTGTGTCAGCTGCCTCTGACCTATCCTCATATAAAATGCCAAATATTTGTTTTGCTTTTTGGTGCTCCAAGAAATCACGACAAGGGTTTTATAAGGTAGAACATATTTTGCTGTTACATGCATGATTAATATGATATATCACAAAAGTTCATCTTTGTTTTAGGCTGGCCATTCTGACATTAAATTAAGCTATTAATGGTTGACCTGATTAGTTAACTTATGTAAGCAAGTACCTGTATTGAAAAGAAAAATGCACTGTTTCTAAGATTGTATTAAATTATAGATTAAGTTAGTGGCATTCAAAAAGGTCGACGCTGAGGTATATTCCGTATGTCCTAACATCTTACACAGGTAGATATTAGTGTTCATGTTGCTATGTTTGGAAATGAAATCCACCTAAAATCCAACAAACATGGAAGCTGAATGCAGTTTCACATGTCTCATCTGAACTCACCTTTGTTCTTCTCTATTTGTGCTCAGGCTGAGGAGATTGTGCGCAGGGAGCTGGAGAAGAAGGAGACACCTAGTCTGTACTGTCTACTAGGAGACATCTTGAGGGAGCATCAGTATTACGACCGTGCATGGGAGCTGTCAGGTCAGCGCAGCGCCAGAGCTATGCGCTCCAAAGCTCTGCTACACCTCCGCCACAAGGAGTTCCAGCAGTGCGTCAACTGCTTTGAGCAGTCACTCAAAATCAACAGCATGCAGGTACAAGCAAATCATCATTCTCTCACATTTGTCTATAAAGTTTAATAATAATTTACTTTTTTTGAAACTTTTTTTCATGTTCAGCAGTGCACGAGAATGAATTATTTTCTCAACTGTACTAAAAGTTGAGTGTGTCAGTGATCACTATTACATGTGTAAGAATGGGTCAGACCTACAGGTGGTTAAAATGCTGGGCCGTTCTGTGGTCTCTACACTGGTTCCTGTTCACCTTTCAGTGTTTTGTTACCAGTTGCAGTCCAACTCAGTAAAGTATGTCTAACTGCTAGCACAAGATCTTCTTTGTGAAAGCACCTGAATGATGTCAAAGAACACTACAACCTAGTGATCCAGCTGGTGGGGAAACACTGCCTGAAACCTTTGAGCTGCATAATAGACATGTACAAGGTTACCATTATACAGCCATGCGTTACCTAGTTAGAGCAAGCATGGCACGAGCCACAGGCACAGCAACCAGATTTAGTCATGAATTTAATTTGTTCAAAATGTAGTTACATGTTCAGATTTTTAGACATCAGGTACAAGATACAAGACAATTAAATCCATCAGTGTAATCAGTGTAAGTGGGATCACTGATATTTAATTAAAACACCTCTATGCATAAGTACATATTAACAGAACAGCTGGGATAGATTCTCAGCCTGGTCAGGATTTTAATCTTTCTTTGCTTTGTTAACAAACACTTTTTGAGGTCATTTCAGGGAAATATCTGTGCCTTAATTTAACACTTCAATA